AATTTTTTTTATTTTTTATATATATATATATATATATATATATATATATATATATATATATATATATATATATATATATATATATATATATGTAGAAACACACAAAAACGTAGCATGCTTTGTTTGGCATATTTATTACCATACAGCTTCGTACTACGTAAATTAAATAACGTGGCACTCTTCAGATAATATAGCCTATGTTTGCCCTATAGCTTCTAACGAACTTTCAAAATTTTGTACAGATGGTAATTAAAGGATGCTTATCTAATTACAAATCAATTAACACCTTATGTACGGTCACTTATGTGGTGCAGCGCTAGATTTCGCCTCAAATTATGACATCGCGATCACGGATGATGAAAAAAATATTATTCTGCATGCAAAGAAATCATGCCTATATTTAATTCTAGAGAACACTGGGGCAAGAAAACATCATACACCCTGTGTAACTATGGGTAGTTATGACGGGGCAGAATCGTGCGAGTTGGTCGGATCTTTTTTGTTACATCAGATCACCCAAAAACACGGTGAGAATTTCGCCCTCTAACGAGATGACGGGCGTGGTGTTATAAAAGCAACCCCCCGTAAAATTGAAATTATCAAGAAAGATATCTGTTCCATCTTCAACAATCATGGCCTAAAAATTATACCATCGAAGCCAACAAGAAAATAGTAGATTTTTTAGATGTCACCATAAATCCGTCTACCCAAATGTATCAGCCGTTCACTAAACCCAATAATATTCTACTTTACGTCCACAACAAATCAAACCATCTATCCAAAATACTAGACAAAATACCAGCCCCAATCAACAAACGCCTTTCTGAAATTTCATTTCATGAGGACTCGTTTCAGCGTGCCTAAGTACCATTGTACCAAGAAGCCCTAACAAAGAGCGGTTATCAACATAAATCGAAATACCAACAACCTCCGACATCTCAAAATACCGTCATGCATGCGCAACTCAAGGAGTCGGAAACGAAACATAACCTGGTACAACACACCGTTCAACAAAATGTCCCTACTAATATTGGTCAGACCTTTTTAAAGATTTTAGACGAGAAACTTCCCGCCGGCCATGCCTTACACAAGATATTTAATAGAACTACCGTGAAGATTAGCTACAGCTAGCTGCATGAGCAACTTTAAACAAAACATCGATGGACATAACAAATCCAAGCTATCCCACCGAGCTAAAGACGAGACGAAAAAAAGTGCAATTGCCAAAAACCAAGTGAATGCCCTATGTCAAAAAATTGTCTAGCAAATTTTGTTATCTACCAAGCCACAGTAAAAACATCTGACAAGCGGCCCACTCAAACATACTGTATGTTGGACTAACAGAGAATGAATTCAAAACCCGATACACCAATCACAAAGCTTCATTTAATAACTATGACTATAAAATACATGCATGCATGCAGAAACCCTTGCCTTGCTGACAAAACCATTATGTTTTCCAAATAGGAAGTATTGTCATGGTTTAAATACTTTATTTGGTAAATATAATAATTATTTACAAAAGACGCACTAATACTATGCATGCACAGAACAAATATTACTCAAATGGAAGAGGTGCGAACGGAACGTAGATAATTTGCGCTATCCATGCAAGGCACCTTTCCAACAGAATACATGTAAATATAGTTTAATACGATATTTGCAATGTTGGTGTAATGTACTCAAGTGAATAAGATGCTTGTGATGTTACTCTGAGTGTATCACAAGCATAGTTTAATAGGTAAATACTATAATAACAAGTTTATACAGCGAGACAATTAACGCCTATGACAAGGACAGGCACGTGACATAGACTAAGTACGTAACAAGTTTACATCGAATACGGTCGATACTAACATAGAATAATGATTAAGGAGATAGTGTTTAAATGTTTTGACACTAGAGAATGTATTTGGTGGAGCTACTTTACAAACACTGTTCCATAATTTCACGATCCGGTTGAAATACGAGTTCTGATATGTTGTGGCTTTACACAATGGAGTCTTGAGCAACAGATTTGTTTTGGGATTACGACATAGACGGGAGTGGCCATGGATTACAAACGAGACATAGTCATGATCATTGAGATCAGAAATACCATAAAGAGCCTTGTATAGAAGAGCATTAGATCCTTTATTATATTCATTTTGAAATCAATGGTGTTTCCTGCAATCTCATTGGTCCACAGGAGTGCGATTTCAGCACGGATCGCACTCCTAGCAGTGCGATTTGTGCTGAAATCTCACCTTCTTTCAACCAATCACATTTGAGTGCTGAGTTCAACCAGACAATCATATTTAATCATAGGATTCGAGCAGCCAATCAATTTTAAGAAAAAATGTGATTTGGCAAGTAAGCAAAAACAAAATATTTACATGTCATGATTACCCTTGAGTGCCTTAGTAATTTTTGGCACATAAAAACAAAAAAAATATGGATAGCTACAGTAAACTATCAAAGAATTGCAAAGAATTTAAAAATTTTTGAAATTTCGCAAAATTGATAGCAAACAGGCAAAAACGCCAACAAAAGCAAATTTTATAAAGCGTCAGGGAAAACAAAGCTCGAAATTACAAAGGTAAATTCGCCTATTGTGTTTCCAATTTTAAACGCACAAAACTGGACCAAAACTCTTTCAGATCACTCGTAAAACCTACAATATTTTTGAACTTACTTGTGTTGCCTCTTATTCTTTATAAATGTATTCATTTCTTTAACATTTTTACCATTTTTGCAGCAAAACTATAATAACTATTGTTCATCTTGTTCGCTTATTGTTACTATGCTACACTTACAGCAGTCAGGAGGTACCGGAGGTGTGTCTTTTGCAAACAAAAACATTTCCGGTTTACAAAAATATTTAAGATTTCAAAATGAATATAATAAAGTGGAAATTGAACTTCGTGTCGAGCAATTTTGGACTGAAATCAAACTATCTTGTGATTACAAATCGCACTCCTGCTTCGCGGTCGTGCGATTTTGTAATCACGCGTTTGATTTCAGGCCAAATTCCACTCCACTCAGTTCAATTACCATTATTTATCTCTCTATCGTAACACAAAGGTAATAAGTTCAGATCAACGAGACGCTCATTGTAGCTGGAGTAACCCTTCCTAGCCTTCAATATCTATCTAGTAGCTCGCCTCTGCACTCGCTCTATTTTTGTCTTCTGCGCATGTGAGCAAATGTATGGGGACCAAACTTCACAGGCATAACATAGATTAGATTTCACCAAGGAAAGGTACAAAGTACGACAAACGCTGACGTCAGTCAAAAAAGGGATGCTACTGAGGACCAATCTGAAACAACACCATCAACGACAACTCTTTGGGTCCGACCAATTAAGTAGTTAGTGAACCAATTTAGCATGTTTGAATGTACACCGAATTGCCTGAGTTTTGCCAAGATTAAATCGTGATCGAAATCCAAGGCAAAATCCAAGTAGACAATGTCTGTTAATTGAATATTGCTGTCAAGGTTTTCTCCAATCTTATGTAAAACGTGCAGCAGTTGTGTAGTGCATGATCGATTCGTAAGAAATCGTGTTGTCCTAGGGAGATAGCGCTGATTACGTGTTCGTATAGTCGCCTACATACGCAACGTTCGAATAGTTTTGTAATGATGGGCAAAAGGGATTTCGGTCGGTAGTTCTCCGCTGGTTCTTTCAGATGAACTGGTGTCTCTTGTGAACTGGTGTCACGTTCGCTGATTTCCACTCTACAGGAAGTCGTCCGACACGCAGGGATACCTTAAATAATTCACAGAGACTAGGCGCAATACGACCACATTATTTTAGTGGACGTGCTGGTATCTTGTCAGGGCCACTCGCGTTGGCGATGTCCAAATTTCTGAGGTAATTTTCCACTTCAGCCACATCAACTGTTAGTTCACCCAGTCCCGACACAGTTTCAGACGCCTCACTATCACAGTCCCCGATGTCAGTACTGGATATTGTAAATACTGAGAAGTAAGAATTTAGAAGCTCGGCTTTTTCTGCAGAGGACTTTGCTGTAATACCGATGAAGACGATGTCAGAAGTCTGTTTTTATCTGCTGTGCAAAATTGCTTTGTGGTAAGTCCAGAAAGGTTTGGATTTGTTGCAAATGATGTTTCGATTTTCTTTAGATATTCCCTATGCCTTTAATTAGCGACTTGACGGCGTCACTTAAGCCTCATAGCTTTTGTTTTCTCGTTTCCCACTTGTTTTGGCGGTATCTTTTTAATCCTGAGTATTTCTTTCGAATAAGATGACGAACTTCTTGATCTACCCAAGGAAGAGAGTTGGTATCCTTTATTGTTTTAATTGGAATGCGGTTATTTATTGCATCAAGGAACGACTTTTTCCAGCAAGACCAAAGTTTATCGATATCGTTGGTACTGTTAACATCAAATTTCATCTGACTGAGCGTATTATTGGGACCTTCAAAATCAGCTTCCTTGAAGTTGTAAATCTGACGCCCTGCCGACTTGGTTCGTTGAAAGTTCATTCTGATACTGAAGTCAATAATTTCGTGATCTATTGGGAAATAACATTCCTCAGGATTTCTGATTTTGACCTCATTACATAAAAGTAGATCAAGTGTGTTCCGAGCTTTATGTGTAGGGCTTCCTATGAATTGGGTTAGGAAGCCCCCAACAAGGTCGCAAAAGACATCACCAATCGCTCGTTCTCCTTTGTTAATTGGAGCTGTGCTGTCAATAGCCCAATCTATCGCTGGGAGATTAAAATCACCAACTACAGCACAACAACTGGACTCACTGGTGTTTTGGAGGCTCTCTCCTCCGCAGAGGCTTACATGAAGTTTCTAGTGAAGGAAAAGTGAGCGCGCAAGGCGTGATGGGAACAGCTAAATAAAGGAAGCCTCTGCGAGTTAATGCAATCAATATGGCGTCGTATATAATCGTTTGTAGCGAAGTTCGATCAACCATTGGGGGTGTTAAAACATGTTTTCGACTTTCATTTTCAGGCGTACTTGAGTATCCTGGGGTGAATTCAATATCAATATCTTCTTCTGTTCATTTGCATCGAAAAATATTGAGAAATTGCAAACGAATATCAATGGATACGAGCTATCTAATTATAAATGTCCTCTTAATTGCAACATTTCTTTATAAAAATGACTCTATTGAACTTCGATACTCAGATTATGAAGATTCATTTCAATTTCTTTCACATTTCCTTCGATTTCAAGTTTAAAAAAAGGTCAAACAACTAGTTTGGTTCAAAAACCATACTTCGTCGCATTATCTGGCAGAGCCTCCCCAACTTCATTTCAATCTTCCCATCACACCGCGCACGCTCACTTTTATTCAGGAAACTTCATGTAAGTTATTTGTAAATACTTAAGGAGGCTCTGCGGAGGAGAGAGTTTTGGAGGGACGTGTTAAGATGTTGAAGGGGTTCCGTTGTTGAGTCAGGAGGACGATAGAAGGTATAGAGTAAGAGTTACTTTTTGTAGGGTTTAACCAATTCTATCACCACAAATTCAGCATCCTGCTTCTGGAGATCTAAGCGGCGAGTTGCTCTTATGTTCAATAAAGAGAATACCAACGATAACAAGATTAATACCAATAATAACGAGAATACCACCTTCGACTCGTCCAACTCTGTCTTTTCGAAAGATGCAGTAGTCCTGTAAAAGTTCACTGTCCAATACGGTATTATTTAGCCAAGTTTCACACACACACACAAACCACATCATATATACTAGATTGTACCAGTTGTTGAAATAATGTGATCTTACAAACATTGGTTTTCCTTTCATCAAGTGTCACAAATGCTTTTAGACTACGCGCATTTATAGATATGGTACCTTTAAGCCTTTGTTGGTTCCGCATGGCTTGATCGAGACTGGACTAGAATTTGTAGCCTCATCGCCGGCAAGCAAGTTAAGATGGAAAACGTGAGACCGTTTTTGGTCGTATTGTAGGTTTAATCCATAGCGATAATTCAGCGAGTAGTTAAATTTTCTCTGTTTAAAGTAACGGGTAGCGATCCAAATATAACACAACTTTTGTAGTAAAATTGCAAGCTCTGGATTAACAATAACGCCGTTTAAGGTAGTATTGATTAGAATAAAATCAGGTTTCAATTTTTAACACAACCAGAGAATTGTTAATATTGTTATAAAACACTTAACTCCGTCCTTTATCCTGTTGAAAATATTGTCGCATCGTACTTTCCAGGTATGTAATTCTTTCCATTAATTAGCGCAGATGCACGCGCACCACTCCATCGTTCAAACTTTCGCGCCGTCGTCAGCATACTAGGGAGCTTTAGATTTGGCTACGAGTACGACTACGAGTACGAGATTCGTCTAGCGAAATGCATGCTGTATGCTTACGAAATCCCGTACTGACGCAAAAAAGTCGTAGCTGTCGCCCATCTGAGGACGAAATTGTGGAGAAATCTCGTAGTCCTCCCAACGACTTTTCAAAAAAAACATAGAAAGTTGGCTTTTTCTTGTTTTCCAAAAATAATTTGTAGCATTTAGGCCAAATAGCTTTATCCGGCGCAAATAATACATTATAGTACTAAATATCTGGCCTGTTTTTAATGTTATGACTTATTTACACGTTTTGTAGGGGATTTTAGTCTGCAGGAGATTTAGTTTATGAAACTTTTTCTCTCGTTCTTGGATTACTGCTATAAAAGCAACATTTGAATGGAAACGAAAACGACTGCGGTAATTTCCTTGCACGCTATCAAATCTCGTACTCGTACTCGTAGTCAAATCTAAAGCTCCCTAGTAATGACGTATTGCTCGCGTATCGATCAACCGACCAAATTATATTTAATCGTTGACCCAAAATCGACAAAACGAACAACAAAAACACGAAATGAGCGATGAAGAAATACTTTATACAAACTTTAAAATGCAACGGACGATTGACTTATTAAGCAATGTAGATGGAATTTTCTGAAATATATCTTGATTTAGTTAGTGAAAAAATGCGAAAAATCGCAGAATATTTTCGTACGTGACCGTATAATATATAGGTCACGTCACGTCACGAAAATTTTAAGAATAGTTTTAAAATTGAAAAATACCCCCAAAATATCACTTTTAATTACAAAATGATCAATTCCCCAAACATATATATGCTAGGTATTTTATTATACGTAATATAAGTTTCAATTTAATGTAACATTCAACCACAAACGCTTCGCAAAACGTTTTAAAATGTTCTTAAAACTGAATTTCCTTTTATCGATAAACATTGAGTTTGAAAATTGAAATCAACTGATTTCAAATTCTCGCTTGAAAATAACTTTGCTTTCCTCTTTATTTAAATATTTTAATAGGGTAATATTTATCATTTATAGACCAGGAGCGAGGGGGATTCGGCGTAATATTTCCCGAAGTGATGATATTTTCCGAGGGGCTTTGCCCCGAGGAAAATGTCTTCACTGAGGGAAATATCGCCGAATCTCCGAGCGGAGGATCTATAAATGATATAATATACCGAATGTTAAAGAACTCACTAAGTTCAGAATACACTTTAAAACTTGCTGAATTATTGACTACGCGAATAGGCCTACAATTTTTAATTTCTTATGTATACCTGAGTTTTAATTTGACGTTTCCTCTTTAAAATATTTGAGCATGTATCCTTTGGATCGTTGAAGATAACATACGTCTTAAAAATCTTTGGTTAAATCAAATCTTCTGCATGAAATTAATACAAACAACACTAGCTCGCGAACGCCATATTGTTTCAGAGCGTGGTGCAATTTGAGGTATGATATTAACTAAAATACACTTAAATAATGTGAAATTATTTTCACTTTACTATACGCAACGGATCGTATCAGTTTTCAAAGCAGTTATAAAGCAAACAATACGGCAATACTAAATTAAAACAAATTTACCTTCATTAACGTCGGCCGACTTTACCTCCATTCTTTTAGACGTTTTTAGCCTGTTTTCGGCTTTCGAAAAGGTTTTGAAATTTGCACAATCTTGCAAAAATACAATATAGTTGTAAGATATGTTTGTTATTTCGCTGTCGTCATTTGTCATACAACAACAAATTTTAAATTTGACTAATCAGTGTTCGCTATTCATGACAGTCCGCCACATATTTTGAGATCAGTGAGGATGATCACCCACCGTTTGTCACCCACGACCGCGATCATTGATGAACTTTAGACTTCGCTAATGCTTTCGTTTCCCCGTGTGTAAATAGCCGGGCGGAATTATAGTACTCCCGCCCCGGGCTTGCGCCAGAAACGGCGCTCCGCGCCGTTGGTTCGGGGATAAGCGCACCTCAGCTGAATTAAGTAAATACATCTGGAATCTTAAGAACAACAACATTAGTTACTCTATTAGATGGAAAATTTTAAAACGTGCTAAATCTTACAGTAATGCATCCCAGAGATGTAACTTGTGTATCTGGGAGAAGTATTTTATTATTTGTAAACCGGACATCGCAACACTTAATCGTCGCAACAAACTTGTCTCCACGTGTAAACAGGCTAATAAATATCTACCTAAAAACTTTATAACTTGATACTAATATTTCGTGGCACTACATAAGGTGTTAATGGATTTGTAAATTGATTTTACAAGTTCGTTAGAAGCTATAGGTCAAACATAGGCTATTCAGTTTATATGAAGAGTGCCACGTTATTTTACGTGGTACGAAACTGTATAGTAATAAATATGCCAAATAAAGCTTGCTAAGTTTTTGTGTCTTTCTATTATGCTCTGGTTATCTATTGAGCATTCTATCATTGGTTTTTATAACCCAACACAAACATATATATATATATATATATATATATATATATATATATATATATATATATATATATATATATATATATATATATATATATATATATATATATATGTTAGTTGTGTACTTGTACACTCTGTAATATGTTAAGATGAAAATGTTCTGGAGTGCGTATTATATATCTCTAATTGTGGGACTCCTACAGAGAGGGCCTCTGAAATCTCAGTGCCAATATATTTGAGTACGAATTCGAATGAGTCCACTGCCATATGAACTGAGCGGTTATAAGCATTGCGAATTTTATTCCCACAAGGTCAAATAAGTTGCATCGATAACAATAAGTTCAATTTCTGTATTTAATTTTTGTGTTAGTATTGACCAGAATACGCCGAAAGATGACAACAGTGAAAGAGTAAAGAATGTAATATATGTTTCGCACGATAAAGTTTATGAGATACCCAGATATATAGCGGACAAGATGTGTTCACTTGAGATGCCTGCTAGTTCAATACGATTTGGTGGTATCATCGGTAGAGGAGCATTTGGTAAGGTATATTTTGGTACAGCTCAAGGAGTCAACAGAAATCCAGAATGGACAACCGTTGCAATCAAAACCCACACAGGTTAAGACAACCGATCAATTATTTTACTGCTCCTAAAATGTTTTTTTGGCATACACATGTTCATGTGTTAAATCGCATGGATCATTCTCAAATATACCAGCAATTGTTATATTGCTCAGAACCGTGGCGTATACACGCGCATTAGCATTCTTTCTTGATACTAGTATCGCACATGCGCACGAGTAATTTTATACTTTGGATTGTTGACACTTGGCAGATGGCGTTAACTCTCGAGTGAATAATGCAAGAGAGCAAAAATGTTCTCCTCCTATATATACTTGCATGGTTGCTATGAATTTATCAACCTGAAAACATTAATCATATAATGTTTGTGATGTTACTCTGAGTGTATATCCACACCGGGCAAGCTTGAAAAATATGCCCAGCCACGGTGGGAATTGAACCTACGACCCTTGGAATACTAGCCCAATGCTCTGCCAACTGAGCTACGCGGTCAGGTCGGTTCGAGTAAGTGTATTTCTGAACAGAATCTAGTTCCTTCGATACCAATGTAATATAGTAATATGATTTAACAACAACACCAACACCAACACCAATACAGAAATAAATCATATTACTAGATTACATTGGTTTCGAAGGAACTAGATTCTGTTATTTATTATTATTATTTATTTATTTCGCCCAATGTTCCAAAGTACAATAAAATTTAACTATTTACATTTTTATAATCTATACGTAGGGCTAGAAATCTTTTAGAAACCCTTTTGGGCTTTGATTTTAAGACCCCTCGTTATAACAAAACTTTTTTTACTTAGTATAATTTCATGATGTTATAAAAATAGAATATAATATAATAACGAAAATATATACAATTGTGAGAGTGTTTAAAGGAAAGTTAGTCTATTTAGAAGATTTTTCAGATTTTTTAAACTTTATACATTAAAATAGGATGATTAACTAGCTGATTGGTGCGATATAAAGTATGTTTTCACATTTTATTTGAAAACCATATATGATCCAATTTTTTTAACTCAGTACTTAAATTATTCCAAATGTCAATACCTTTACTAACAACAGATTGTTTTCTATAGTTTGTTCTTGTATAAACTTTTATGCAATTTTTTTTTAATTTCGTGTGCAATGGTCATGAATGTTTGAATTTTTTTATGAAGTATCCATTTAAAATGTCGGGTAAATCATTAGTACAGTTGCAACGGTACATAAATAAGCTGGTAAGGTAATCGTTAATTTTGAAAATATTTAATATTTTCAAAATCATTAAATAGCGGTTTTGTATGTTATGTGCATGATTTAAATTTCATTAATCGAATAATCTTGTTTTGAATTGCTTTTCAATTTTCGAAGGGTATATATTACCCCAAGCTAAATTACCATATGTAAGGTATGGATAAATTAAAGCATAATAGGTCAACTTTATAGTGTTCAAATTTGCGTCAATAAATGTTATCAATCTTTGATACATTACTTTTTCCAATAATTTTGAAAAACATGATAAGACCGAAATAGGTCTGTAGTTTTGAAATCTAAAGTCTTCATATTCCTTGTATACAGGAGTTACTAGCTAATGCTATTTTTAAAGAGTCTGGAATAATTCCAGTGTTAAATGTCAAATTGAATATATGAGCTAATGGTCTACAGATTTCATTTCCAATGAACTTTATTACTTTAATTGGCACTTAGCTCATCATAACCAGCACTTTTATTTTGATTTAATTTGTCTATTTCAATTTTTACTTCAATCTCAGTAACCGGCACAACAAACATACTTTTCACATAACTTCCGGAAAGATACCTGTCAAATGATTTTTCATTATTTTCAATGCGAATTTGTCTAGCTAATTGGTCCAGCATTAATAAAATATTTATTAAAGTTGTTTGCGATTGCAGTTGGATTTGTCAAGGCTTGTTGGAAACTTTTCTATAAATTTATCCGGTAGTGTGGATTTTTCGTTGCTTCAATTTAAAATTTCGTTAATCGTTTTCCATGTCATTCTACTATTGTTTTTATAATTTACAAATTGTTTTTCATAATAATATTTTGTGGCAAGTTTGACTAGGTGAATTAGCTAGTTTGTTCTTATACTTTTTTGTATGTTTCTGCAGTTTTCAAATATGTTCTATAAAGTTGTTTTTTTCAGTTACGGACTTTGAAATACCGTGAGTCATCCAAGGACTTTTAAAGTAATCAATCTTTTTTAACTTTTTCTTTTGTAGTGGAAAGTTTTTGTTGAATGTAGTTTTTATTTTTTAAAAAAAAGTTTCATAAGATTCAGTAGCATCAATGCTTTGAAAAATATCGTGTTTTGAATAGCGTTTGAAAATGATGAAAGATTTTTATATCTATTTACCTATGATAATTGTTGTCAGATTGCAATTGATGATGGATACATGTATTTGCAAAATGAAAAATAGGAAAATGATCAGAAATATCTGTGAAAATTATTCCATTTTTGCTGGTTTCAATTTGTTCATAGTCATTGGTAAAGATGTAATCTATTAAAATTGCAGTGTCTGGTGTAATTCTCGTTGGTTTTGCAATAAGAGGGAAAAACGTTGAAGTGAAACGTTGTTCACTAAATCTGTTTGAGTAGTCACTTTGATCAGATTTTAAAAGATCTATATTGAAATCACCCATGAGATAAGCATTTTACTAGTTTTGTTGATTGAATATAAAACATCATTAGGTTTGGTTTCAAAAATTTCAAAGTTTCCATTTGGAGGTCTATAAATAGTTCCTATTGTAAACTTGCACGTTTTATTTGAAACTAGCTTTATTGAAAATATGTTACAATATGGCGGCTATGGTGAGTACGCGTATTTATATAGCAGCAGGAGACTGGATCTAGTACTACGTACAGGAATTTAATATAACCGGAAGTGTGACATCCCCCTTTCTTTCGTTTTTTTTTAAGTTATTTTCTAATTAAAAATTACTTTAAATAATAGGAATAATGTCTCGGAATAATGTCTACTTGCAGAAAATAACGTAATGTATATATTGTCAATAAACTACAAGAAAAATGCTTAGCTACAAAAAAATAAATTTAATGTTCAGTCCCTGCTGATAGATCTGCACCTACGAAATGTTCAGTCTTTCTGGTTGTTTAGAGATACGTCCTGACCTAGTTACACAGTATGGCTGCAACCTACATAACTTATCTTCAGGTGATGCACTTATTTCTCGAGATACTATCATGGGTGGTTCGGTTTCTTGCTTCCGGTTACAGCTCGGCCGAAAAGGTGCGACTGGTCTTAAAAATTGCATAGACTGTGGCTTCGCCTGTTGTTTCTGAATACTGTTCGGTCTTAACTGCGTTCTAGTGCGGCGGTAGATGGATTCTGTTCTGTTGTTCTTGACGATGTAAGATCTAGGTTCTTTGGCGGGTTTGATGATTGTTCCGGGCTCCCAGCTCTTACTATGGTGGTCGTAGATGTTAATGGGTTCACCTTCGTTGAATGGCTTTAGGATTGGTCCAGCTGTGCGGTTATAGTATGATGCTTGTTGCCCCTGTCGCCTGTGCAACTCATTCTTGGTGATGCTGGTGTCATTATTCACACGAGCCCGCTTTGCCATCGGTAACGTTGTCCTTAACGTGCGGCTGTTCAGCAATTCTGATGGAGATTTCAAACGGTGACTGACTGGCGAACTACGATAGGAAAGTAGTCCTAAGTAAGGATCGGTTCCATCCTCATCACATTTTTGTAGGATACCTTTCACGGTTTGAACCATACGTTCTGAGGAACCATTGGATTGTGGGTACATAGGTGAACTTGTGGTATGCTCAAATCCATAAACACCAGCAAATTGTCGAAATTCGCGGGATACATATTGCGGTCCATTGTCAGTCACGAGCTTGTCTGGAATGCCATATTCTGCGAAGATGCTCTTGAGGTGATTAATGATCGCATGGGATGTAGTGCTAGTGAGCTTTCGGACGATGGGAAATTTGCTATACTCATCTGATAACAACAGATATGAATTACCCTTATCCTCAAACAGATCGGAGTTGAGTATCTGCCAAGGGTAACAAGGTGGTTCAGGTTGAAGTAGATCCTCTTTTTGCTGCTTACGTTGATGCTTCTGACATGCATCACAACTTTCAACAACTTTGATTATGTCCTTCGTAATTCCAGGCCAAAACACCGCAGATCTTGCTCGGAGCAGACATTTCTCTTGTTCTAGATGCCCTTCATGTATCGTTGTAAGGACTTCTTCTCTAAGATTTGGCGGCATAACTATGCGTTCTTGCTTTAGGACGAGGCAATCCTCAATTGTAAGTTCTTCTCTAAAATTCCAATAATCGTGGAGCAATTGAGGGCACTGTTCTCTCGTGGCTGGCCATCCTTGGTAAACTACCTCGCGTAGTTTATTCAAACCTGGATCATCTGCAATCTCATTTCGAATTTGCTGCAGCTTTATAGGAGAAGCTGGAAGGGTGTTAGTAATCTGGTGGATATCTAGTTGTGGAAGTTGACCTTTGAGTGGTACAGCTTGTGATGATACTCTGGACAGGGCATCAGCGATAGGTACTTGTTCACCTTTCACATACGTCACGGTTACGTCATACTTGAGTGCTCTTAAAACGAATCGTTGTAGTCTGGATGGGAAGCTACTCAATTTCTTCCTAAAGATTGTTTCCAAGGGCTTGTGGTCGGTGTGCACAGTACACTTCTTTCCATACACAAAGTAATGAAATCGTTCGAGCCCCCAAACAACGACAAGTGCTTCACGCTCAATGTTACTGTACCTTTGCTCAGCTTCTGTGAGAGCCTTCGACGCATAACACACGAGTTGACCTCCTTGTAGAAGCACTGCGCGTAAGCCTTTGAGAGATGCGTCAGTTTGAATGGTTGTTTCTGCATCAGGGTCGAAATATAAGGGTAATCGCCCAGCGAGGATACTTCCTTCTTCACTTCATCAAATGCGCGGGTATGCTCTGGCCCCAAACAATACGCAACATCTTTCTTGGTTAGATCGCGAAGTGGAGATGATAGGGTAGCCAGACGTCCGGAGTACCTTGTTCGATAGCTTACTAAACCAAGAAAGCTCTGTAGACTTTTTGCAGCTTCCGGCGGCTTCATACCAAGGATTGATGATACTTTCTTATCATCAGGCTTCATACCTTGTGGTGTCCAAAAGTGTCCAAAGAAACTCACTTCCTTACACTTGAACTGCAACTTCTCCCTATTAAACACCACACCCTTTACTTGTGCTCTTTCCATAAGCTTGAGTAGGTTTGCGTCGTGCTCTTCCTCTGAAGATCCATATACAAACGTGTCGTCTGCTATAACAGTGATGCCATCGAGGCCTTCAAATGCTGTGTCCAGCTGCTTCTGGAATATATCTTGAGAAACAACAAGACCAAAGGGTAATCGGTTGAAACGATAACGGCCAAAAGGAGTGCCGAAGGTTGTGAGGTACGAGCTTTCTGTATCCAGATGTACGTGCCAGTACCCCTTCCTTGCATCTACCACAGTGAAGAATGTAGCATCTTTTAGCTCAGTGACCACCTCATCAATTGTCCTCGTGCGATACCCACTTATTCAAGTCACGGGGATCCAGGCAAAGTCTTACCTTTACTATCTCTCCTTTGCTGTTGGTTGTCTCGCTCAGCACAACACTATTAACCCAACCTGTCGGTTTCTCAACTGGTGTTATAACACCAAGTTTTAAGATATTGTCAATTTCCTGCTTTAAGTGGTCCCTAAGGTGCACTGGAACTTGTTGCGGTGGGTGGATAACTGGTTCTGCAAGGTGATATGGTAAGGCTTCATATCCTTGAATGTACCTAGTCCCTCAAATCTATCCGGGTACTCTTTCAACAGAGGTCTCTTTAGTAAGAGGCGTAGCCCTCTTAACAACATTTTATGAATTCAATAGAGTTGGTGTGCTCGCGTGCACATGCATTATTTTACAAGGAAACTGCACCAATCCCAGGTCACGCGATGTTTGACAACCTAGTATGGCAGGTCCTTCGACATCCGTAACATTAAATACTATTGTCAAGCCGCCTTCGTTTGGGATTGGGAACAATTGTTTCATAGTCATGTTTAGATACAACATTCAGTTCTGCACCAATGTCAATTTTACATACTACTGGGGTGGTATACTTGTGGTAAGGCTCTGCAGTCAGATGGGTTTCAATCAGTACTTTTATTCTCTGCTCTGTACTAAGGCTATTAATTTGGTTTGGGTTAGCACCAATGTTCGGACACTGTTCTGCCAGTAAAGTACCAAGAAATATTTTTTCATCAATATCTGGTTCATTTGAATTGCTATCATCACGCTCAAGTGAGTTACAGTTCGTTTTGATTGCCTTGAAACACATATTTTGGTAATGACCAGTTTTCTTGCATCCAAAATATTGTGCCTTATTAGCAGGACATTTCTGATCTTTATCGTGTACTGTATTCCCACACCTAGTGCATACTGGCTTATCCCATTTCATTCTATATCCCTTTTGCCCCTTTTGCCTATCATACAATGGTTTGGTCTTACCTCGATTCATGTTTCCTCTCTTGTTTTTCTGCAATGAGTCTACCTGTGTAGGGTTTGAAACATCTCTGGTCATCACCTTTAGCTGTTGTCTGGTAGCCTCCTCGGTGCGGGCGATTTCTCTTGCTTTTATAAGAGTTATTTTATTCCCTTCAGCAATACATTTCTTACGGACTGTATCTGAATCAACTCCAAATACCAAAGCATCTCGGATCAATTCGTCATGTATTTCATCCGGATAACCACTGTTCTGAATAAGGAGGTTTGCTTCGGTTAAAAACTCGTCGAGCGGTCGGTTGTTCTGCTTCAAGTTTCTGAGATAGAAACGGTTGAGAAGATGGTTGGACTGAGGTTTTACGTGCTGTTCAAATCTTGTCCAATACTCGTCTAATTTGTCTTGATCGGCTTCACTCAAATTCCATGTATTGTAGAGGTCAAGACCATAATCTCCTACCCATAGGAGAACATATCGACATTTCTGCGTAACAGTTCGATCTTTCAAAGGGCCATCAAACAGTAATTCACACTTCTGCCGAAATCGCTTGAGCCGTTGTGGCAGATCTGGTCCGGGTGTCCAATCGATTCTTGGCGGTTCAAAGCCAGCTAGATCACTCATTTTGTTAACAAGTAACCAAGTACTTATTGTGTTGGGTTTCTAGACCTTCTAGTCATCAATCCCGTACCTGACACCATGTAAACTTGCACGTTTTATTTGAAACTAGCTTTATTGAAAATATGTTACAATATGGCGGCTATGGTGAGTACGCGTGTTTATATTACAGTAGGAGACTGGATCTAGTATTACGTACAGGAAGTTAATATAACCGGAAGTGTGACACCTATGATTATATTTTTTCCAAGCGTTGATGTGCCGAAATGTCAGTTAGTCGAACCGACCTGACCGCGTAGCTCATTTGGCAGAGCATTGGGCTAGTATTCCAAAGGTCGTAGGTTCGATTCTCACCGTGGTCGGGCATATTTTTCAAGCTCGCCCGGTGTGCATATACACTCAGAGTAACATCACAAACATCATATTCACCTATACTACCAACACAGAAAAAAAAATTATTCATATACCTATACTATATAATTATATATACCTACTATATAATTATATAAGTGACTGCATTGAGAAATATTATCAGAAAAACAATTATGATATCGTTTTCGCATGAATAAAATGAATCAAATTATGAAAGTAATTCTAAACATTTAACAATTATTCGCCGAAGGCGAGGTGATTATCGGGGAATATTAACCGAGACGAAGTCGAGGTGAGTATTCGGGCCCCGATAATCACAAAGACTGAGGCGAATAATTGTTTCAGTATTTTTCACAAGTCTTTTGTGTTTTTTGGGACTGAATTTATCATAATTTCTTTATCATTAACTTCCATAAAACGGCTGGCCGCCATTTTGCAAATTTATGTTTTGTTATATTCACCTGTGAGTGAATACTGTATAACAGCTTTATAATACGTCAAATTGACCAATGAACTTGTAGGATTTGTTATATTCACTTGTGCAAAAACACTAATCTGCAATATTTCGTCAATATTCATCAATATATGACTAGAGATCTTTCTGAAAATACTTACAAATGCACTTGCAATGCCTGCAATAAAATAAGTTGTCATTCAGGTATCGGCTTTTGAGGAATCAGCTAACTCGATAAATTCAACAAATCTTCTATAGAAACTGCCAATGAAGAAGAAGTTAGTGATATCTTACGTGAAATTGAGTTGATGAAGGACCTTGGAAGACATGAAAATGTCATTCAGATGTTTGGTTGTTGCATAAGGTGTCGTCCAATATGTTTAATCCTGGAATACGCGCCCGGCGGAAATTTGAAAAATTATCTGAAGTCTCTTAAAAAGGTACATATATATAGTCACCTATCAAAGCGCACTAATTGGTGCAATGCGGAACATTAATTTTTAAGATTTTAATTTTCAGAAGTTCTTCAATTGTAAAAGTATGGGAATTTCCAGGGAGCTATAGAGAAAAAAACACAACTTAGTGTTGTCCACCGTGTACTGTACTGTACTGTACTGTACTGTACTGTACTGTACTGTACTGTACTGTACTGTACTGTACTGTACTGTACTGTACTGTACTGTACTGTACTGTACTGTACTGTACTGTACTGTACTGTACTGTATTGTACTGTACTGTACTGTACTGTACTGTACTGTACTGTACTGTACTGTACTGTACTGTACTGTAATTTCATTTGCAAAAGCAATGTTGACGAAAATTGTACCTCTGTTCCCATTTGGTCAGTTTACCCGATCCCACAAGAGAAATTATGCAGTAATATTCTTGTAAAATGAATTTATTTATTTCTTCATTCGTTTATTAAATATCCTGGGAAACAAAACTTCCTTCAAAGCGATATCTATATAACAAAAAATATAGCAACAATTTTTTTAATTTATATGATTATTATACATTCATAAAATTTTTTCTTAAAGTGTAAAGACATAGCAATCGCACGTGGACAGACGACGTCTCGAAATCTGGCAAGGCATGATATTTTACCAACAAGTTGAACCCATTTCAGTTTAAGTTTTGAATTTAGTTTAATATGCCGCTAAAGTTAATTTTCTCATGCAACCTCGCTGAATTTCTCATGCAACCCAGCGTTGATTTTCTCATGCACTCTCGTTGCCAAGGCCTTTTTTGTAAATGGGAAAAGGCCCTGGAATTGGCTGATCTCATCACCCAGAATTTCTGGGTGTAAATAAATTAACGATAAAGTTAAATATGCGAAATGAAAATCCAAGATGGCCGCCGACGTAAGAGTGTCCACAAAATTTAAGTCTCTATATAGTCCGTGTGTTCTGACCTCGAAAAGTGCCTAGAAAACGCTTTCGAACTCGCTGAGTTCATATCCGAAAAGTTCCCACTCCGTAGACCGGCAGTTTTCTCACAAACTGCTACTTTTTTTTCGGTAATTTTGCAGCAAATTTTTTCATTGTTCAACGACACGGATCGATAACAATTTCTATTAACTATTCTTCCTTTTGACAAAAGATCGGTTTTGCTCTAATCCTTTTGAATTATGCAATGCAGACTGAATTAATGACCCAATTAATTCCTACAGCAAATTTCTACATGAATTTTCTGAAATGTTTGATACTCGTGTTCCGCTGCGCAGGCAAAAAGTGTGTTCTACTATTGATCTTATTTCTGAACCTCTATGCAAACTCGTAAATTTGTCTATCGAAACTGGTATTGTTCCAGATAAGATGAAAATTGCACGTATATAATACCATTTTTTAAATCAGGTGACAATCGTCAGTTTTCTAATTAGCCTATAGACCAACATCTGTTTTACCATTTTTTTTACAAAATTCTGGAAAGAATTGTGCACAATCGTTTAATGAACTATATAAATATTAATCAGATATTATTTAAAAATCAATATGGCTTTATTAAAAATCATTCAAGCTCATTAGCACTTATAAACCTTTATGACAAAATCTCTACAGGCTTTGATGCCAATGAGCACACAGCTGGTATTTTCCTTGAATTATCGAAAGCTTTTGACACTGTTGACCATGAAATTTTAATTTCCCAACTTGAACACTATGGTATCCGAGGATTGGCTCTTGATTGGATAAAAAAATTACTTATTTAACAGGATCAATATGTACAATACAATGGCATTTGTTCCCTGTTCAACATAATAGGGTCAATCCTCGGCCAATTACAGTTCTTAATATATATAAACGATATATATAATGCTACGGACATTGGAGAGTTTATTCTATTTGCTGACGATACTAACTTATTCTATTCTCATGATAACTTGTCATCTTTAATGAGTCTGATAAATTCTGAATTATGTAAGATTTCGGAATGGTTTCAGACTAACAAACTTTCTATTAATACCATTAAGTCCAACTATATAATATTTAAGCCAAGGCAAAAATTTGACTCGAAACTGGAAATAAACAGTAATGAAATTAATAAAGTCAAAGAAGTTTGTTTTCTTGGTGTAATGTTAGATGAGAAGTTATCATGGAAAGCACATATATCTTATGTTGCTCATAAAATTTCTAAATCTATTGGAATTATATATAGATCAAGTGTTTATCTCTTCAAATAAGCTTTTCGAATATTCTACTTTGCTCTGGTATATCCATATCTTCAATATTGTATTACGGTATGGGGTTCGACGTATTCAACTAATTTTAATCGCATTGTTGTTCTACAAAAACGTGTGTTACGAATCATCGATAAACAGGACTTCGGTGTGCATGCCGCCCTTATTTTTGGTGAACGTAAAATATTGAATTTTGAAGATATAGACCAATTGCGAAACTTAGTGACCGCGCCTTCAACTGCACGAAAACGAGGCTTATTATGCAAAAACAAATCATTCTGCTATATTTTTATATGGCGAAAAATGAATTTCAGTGTTTGAGACGCGTTTTTATGGTAATCTCTTCATTTTTTTTCAATATTTTCGTTTTGACTATGTAAATCTTTATTAAACTTGTTCATAGATTTAGTCTTACTTCAAATTTCATTGTTTTTTTGCGGCGTGCGAGGCAAAGTTTTGCTGTTTTTCGCCGTCCGATAAAAGAAGCAGATTATACCAGAGAAAGAATCAGGTATTTTCCGTCTGTTTTATTAATACTTTTCAAAGAATAAGTTGTAACATTGATTAATTTTGTTTCAGTTGTAATATAATAGCAAGTTTTCGATTTTAACTTTAAAAATATGAAAGTAAATGTCGGGCAAAATTTGTAGAAATTTTATGTTATTATCCTTTGACAAAATCGTTTTTTCTCGCACGAAGTCTAAAAAAATCTGGGTAGAAAGAGTTATATTTTAGTTTGTTAATTTATACTGGCTATTTTATTTGCATCTTGATTAGATCAGAAGTCTAGATTGATCTTTTCCATATGTTTGTCCCATCGCATGCTAAAACAACAACGAAATATCTCTCCAAAGCGGGTAAAAATATAGTGGGAAATCGATGTCTAGATAAATTTAACAAATATTTATATAACCTAGCACGAAATATTAAGAAAAGATCAAAGAGATTCAAGAAAAAACACTTTAAAAACCCTAAAATTCACTTTTCGCTATGTAAAAGTATAGAAATTGTTTTGTTTTTGCATAATAAGCCTCGTTCTCGTGCAGTATGAAGGCGCGGCCACTAAGTTTCGCAATTGGTCTATCTATTTATTTAACCGCGGGAAGTTCATTTATCAAACAAACATAAATTGCTACCGGATTGTTTTGAATGTCCACTTTTAACAGCAAATCATATTCACAATTATAATACCCGTAAATCCAGAACACTTAGCGTCCCTTATTTCAGGACAAATACTCGCCTATTTTCTGTTAATTATCAAGGACCAAAATTTTTCAATACGTTGAATCCCGATATACGTAATTCATCATCTATTTTTAGTTTTCAATCTAAGTTAAGATCGTTTCTTTTTTCTCGTTAAATATAGTTTCAATATATATTTAGTAATTTGGCTCATTTAATTTTTATTCGAATATCTGTCTTTTTCCTAGTATCACATGTTTTATTTAATCTAGCTGAAATCAACGAGGTAGCCCAAAGTATACAAGCCTGATGGTTTCTATTTGGGCTTTCTCACCACAATTATTTTTGATATATGTATGATTATTTGGTATATGTAATTTTTTGTGGTAAATCAAATAAAATTATTATTAAATTATTATTATTATTAAATGCAATCTTATTCGTGTTGGACGTACGTAAACAACATATATTCTCTACAACTTTGAGAAGGTACAGATAATTCGTTCTAATAGCCTTAGTTCTGGATCTATCTCTATAAAATTACTAATTCAAGGACGTTAATATTGCCCATGTCTCTGGGTTGAGAAATAATTGCTTACATGCGATCAAAATATTGTATACAACGATGAGTAAAACGGTAATCTACACTGCATGAAACAATTCGTATACGGTTGTATCAGAAGTCCTGATACGAAACGTTTACTGATGATATAAGGTTGTATAAGTATTTGGGCGTATCCTGGTAATATATCAGGACCCGTATATAAATGGCTTCCTAATTCCATGTATAAGGTTTTCTTATACAATTCACAAGAAAGCCTTATTCGTTGTATCATGCATACAGGCTAAATTATATACAGAGTGAAAAATAACCTCCAATATTTCCACTGTGTCATATTTCTGTATGAAAAAGTTTATCTTCATTCCAGATTATCTTATGCGCGCACCATTGATCTCATTCCAGAAGATTTTGAAGTATGTTTTTTTTCAAATAACAAGAACATACCGTAAACGATAAACAAATGAACCCAAAACCGGATTATATAAATATTCTTGAATGGTGATTAAGTGATCAGAGCAAATGTCCAGTAAATAATAAGTATACTATACGGTATATAGGCCTACTACGTTTATGTAGTACAACATCTTAGGAAAAATATTTTTAACAGTTCAAGTTTAAGAATTTAAAACAGTGCATGGTTGGTATAAATTAATCATTAAAAAGCTTCCTCGAGGGACAATAGATTCATATCAATTAACCTTTTTCACGAGGGCATAAATTCGGGGGTGATGTCTGATCTCATTTAAAGACTTAAATTAGTATAGTACATTAAACTATCATTAAATCATTGGTTTAAGGATAGCTTAATACTCATATAAGGGACCTTATACGACCCATTTCACGCAGTGCTGTATGTAATGGATCAGCATTTAAATTTCCAACACAGTAGGCTAATTCGGAGATGCAATTCAAGAGATAAGTTATCATTGCATTTAAAACTATTACATTATAGACTGTGCAACAAGCGAATATTGTTGGAAAGAGAGCTTCCTTATACGATGAAATCACTCCATATGCGTTGAAATCACGTTGAAATTTCTCCACTTCGTCGTAAGTTTACAGAGCATATTTTATACTTTGGGACTGATCTTTGTATTTGATGTTAATAACTTAGCCTACTGACCGAGAGTGAGGCCAGTACGGGAAAATATCCAATCGAGGTTGGATATTTTCCCGTACTGCCCGTACGGTTGAGGTCAGTAAGTTTTATATGGCATTGTAAGTTTGTAAAAAAATGTGGAAAAAGGTCACGCGAGGGCAAAGTACAAAGTCCGAAACATTTGCAAAAAAAAAGAATTGTAAAATCGTTCTCTCGGTTAGTAAAACTATTCTAGAGCACTTTTTATAAAGAATACTAACACAGTTTGGATAGTATTTCAAGAAAAATACGAGGTATTTCGTCATTTAATCAAAGACAACAAAATGAAAACAATAAAATTAATAAACAGTATCGACAAGAACATTTTTAGTTCACTTCATCTCATATATTCATGTCTCTTTTTATCTAACAAAAAATAAATTTTCCGGGAAAAATTATAAATCTGTGGCTGCTTTAGTTTTATTTTTTATTTAGGATGGTGTCAAATTCCTACTGGCTATCTGCAAATAACATTTTCAGCTCTTCACATAGTCAAAACACAACAATTCCTGACTGCTTTTAATTATAGTTATAAACATTGTAAAATTTACCCTGTAAATTCGACTTTCGCTAACAAAAACATAGTGAGAAAGTTCTTGAACCACAGCAGCTGCTCCTTTTCTTTATTTTAGGTTTATTCTTCTTCGTTTTGAATAGTTTGAAAGACTTTTAGACACTTTTTGCAGTTTGAAACTCGGCTCTCGTCGCAGGGCAATAAAAATTGCGTATTGCCCGCGGGCAATACGGGAAAATCCTGCCTCGTCAGCAGCCAATCAAATTGCGCGATTCATCAAAACAAATGCTTGTCATATAATAAAAACATTTATTCTTATAGTTTAATTAAGGTTTTTTGCCGTTACGCTGGCTTCGTGTTACTTTTGTTTTAAATACCTTGACTGCGTTAAAAGAGTTATTTTTCAGGCCAGTGACCTAGTCAAAAGACTTCGCAATAATGTCCTTGTGATTTTATAGAGATATCTACAGAACTGAGGATTTTAGGAAGTCATATGCATCGATGCGTGTCGTTGAACAACGAAAAATTAGTCGTGAAATTATTGAAGATAAAGAGCTGTCCCTAGGACAGTTCCTATAACTCGACTGATTATATTTGAATGAGTCTATGGGCATTAAGATGACCTTTTCCAACCACCTCAACCCCACAAATACAATAACGTGTATCTGACACTTGATTGTATTTCCCATAGACAAACAATCCCACTTCTACAATAGCTGTATTCATACAGAGGACAGCTTTTGCCAGATGATAGTAAGCTTGCGCATGTTTGAGAAATACCATCGCTTACAGCTGGGTAGTCAGGAAAGCCAGGAAAAACCTGCAATACAGCAAAGTTGAATGGGGCCAAGATAATTAACCTGCAGCAGCTTCCCCACAAAGCTTCTATGTTACAACTTTTCAATAGGAGCGTTGGTAACATGGCAACAAACTGGCAGTTGTTTCCCCTTCTTTCCTTATTTATTTTTATTAATCTATTCCTTCATTCAGTTTTAAGTGTTTTCGAAGAGACCCGGTATTTGCCAAACTCTTTGCCTATCTGATTTGTTTGCTTGCAATTCACGTGATTGTAAGCAACGTGTCAAACATGCATGCATGAGAGCAATGGAACGAAATTGTAAATATTTCTTTTGTCAATTCTGACGAGAAAAATTGTTGTAAAACAACTCTATTTTTGCCAAATATTAACTTATGTTGGCATAAAACTTTATTATACTTCTCTGTTACACTCCTGTTTAAACAGCGATTTACAATACATAAACAAGTAAAATTAGTGAATTTCATCATCCCGTAGAATCGATATGATATCATCGCCTCATGGCCGCCATTTCGGCAAAAATTAAGAAGATACCCAACTACCATCATGCATTGCGGCCCGATTTGCTAAAATGTTAAAGGTCTATTTAAACTCGATTTTAAATATGAACAATATCCAACTACCAACATGCATTGCGGTCCGATTTGCTATAATGTTATAGGTCTATTTAAACTCGACTTTAAATATGAACAATATCAAAAACTAAAGGTCATGTTTAGGCTATAATCAATGCAGGATCCGAACTCGTATAAGAAAGTATTTGTACATAGAGGATATTACATGGCGGGGCGATTAATGTATGACTTTTATCTTCGAATGGTAAAGAGAAGATAAAAGTCATATCTTCAAGCCACCGTGTAATGTTCTGTGTATTATATAGTCTCAAGCAAAAAAATCTATAAATACTAAAAGTCACGTGATCGATATTTTCACTAGTGAAGATATGGAAAATATCTCACTGTGTATTTTTCAGTATCTCTACATATTACACGGTTGCGCGGAAATATGGAATTTATTTCGCGTGTTGAAGAGAACGAGTGAGCAATATTCTCTTCAGCACTTGTAAATCAACAGTAAATCGGATATAAATCTAATAACTAGTAAATCAACAACGAACAAGTTCTCTGATTGATCAAACATATTTCCTGCGCGCATTTTGATTGACTTGCAAAACTGATATTTTCACATGCGGCCAAAAGCTCTATATAACACTTATGTTTATATAATAAAGAACAATATGACATATTGGAACACAATTCGCCCGAAACTACAGAGAACATGACACTATACGAAGCCAATGAAGGCACATATTGCCGTAAATACTCGGTCAAGATGTGTTCTAGTACACAATTCATGTTCTAGCTCTCACAGTTTAAAATAATACATGGCTAGGATCCTCCCTACGTTGGATTATTGTGACATTGTTTGGCAAGGATGTAGTCAGGGAAACAGTGACTCTCTACAGAAATAGGCACGCATTGCGTACATTTGGGTAGCCTACACGTATATGCGGTAAGGCGTAGGTAGGAACCGGGTGGGGGGGGGGGGCGGCACTGGAGGTACATACGCCCCTCCTTCAAGCTACCCTCAAAGTATCCATTTTTAAGATAATACAATGGGGAAAATGCCTTTTTAATAAAAAGGTGCCCTTCTTATGTAGTGTCCCCACCCAACCCCACGTTGCTTCCTACGCCCCTGAAGTCTTAATTTTGACTTCTGCTTATTAATTTGCAAGCCAAGTCCGTAAATGAAAAATGTTATGAACTGTTTATATAATACTGGCTTTTAATAAATTATGTTGAAACACTTTGCTGATAGCCTATAAAGTCGTTGGATTGGCTTCACTGTCACTGATCCATGCTTTTGATACTGCAAAACAAACATTTACTTCTACAAATATTAATGCATGACCTTGATGGAAATCGGCATGAACTGAATAAGTATAATAAAAAATTTCATTAATATTTCTAAGACCTGGATTTTCATCGACATCATTCGAAAGTCTTAATAATAATGGTACATAAACATGATAGCATGCCTTCTGTGCTGAACAACATTATTTTTGCAATTTTGCCAGTTCTAGTCACTAGGCTTTTAAAAAATGGCAGACAAAGTGCATTTAAATATAACACCATCAACATTAATTTGATTCCAGAATTTACCTTTCAGTCGAGGTATAATTTTAGTTGGCGTAAAATTGTAGTGTGAACCAATCATTGAATGATAGGTCTCAATTGCGACACCCATAATTCCATGCAGTCAAGTCAAACAGTCGATCAGAATCGATTAATTTTTTTATGTATATTTTAATATTAGGCTACAATGCAGGCGTCTTTAATTAACCTCTTTGCACTTGCATAATATAAAATTGGATTCACAATTGTAAATATTTTAGGTCGGATATCATAAATTGATTGTGGCAAGTGAAATGCCAACTGATTCAGCATCTGCAATTCCTGTAAATGCAAGTGGATCGTACAAGATGGAAGAAATAGGGCTAAAACAAGCTGAAGGTAATTTAGATAGCAAATGCGAAATAATAAGTGAGATTTTGTTGAGAATAAACGTATATTTTTTCAGTCATTTGCGGAGGAAGATCGCTTTCGTTTGGCCATAGCCATTTATATTGTATGACGAAATATAAAACATTTTCACGAGGCTCTTAATAAAATTCAGTCGGGCGGTGATGAGTATCAAGGAATTTATTTTATGTTGGGACTTGGGCACAGAAAAGGAACTTGGGAGTGGCTTATTTTGAATATTTACTTAATTAATGACATTTATAAATAGCTTGATGCTTCAGGGGCGGTAGTTCATTTACACCCAGTTTTGCGGCACGCGGTATTTCCTAAAAACCGCCTGCCACGCAGACTATTTGGTCATAGCTCTTCGGCCATGGCCAAAAAATATTAAGATCTAGAGTTTATGAAATAGCATTTTCTGCATTTTGGGAAAGATTCATGCAAATGCCTAACTGGGTAATTTTTTGTTCACCTTACATTTTGGAGAGCAAAGAATATTACGTTCACCCACTGGGAATATTTAATTTGCAGCTAGTTTTGATTTTCATAACAAGGGGTAAATTTACAAAACTATCATAACGTACGATATCTCGAGCATTAATTTTATACCGATTTATATATCATCATCCAAGTATGTTTAATTAATAGTATGTAAAATTGTTTTGTTCATTATGCGTTCTTGAGGAAAACTATGCAAAACATAATAAATCGATCCTTTTACCAAATAAAGAAATCGATAAGCTATAGCAGTAGGTCTGCATTGTAAATTAAATAATGCTAAATAATTTTATTTAATCAATATTTTAGACGTATGGATGCAATGAATATAGTATTCTACAAAATGGCGCTTCACGTAAAATTCCATCTCAAATTCGATTATATTTATAGATTTAAATTCCGAAATTGTCTCAAGAATAAACGAGGAAATCCGAGTTGCTTTGAACCCCAAAGAATTGGAATCCTTTGCTCGTCAAATTGCTTCTGGAATGGTAAATTGTTTGCAATATTATATACAAGGGTGGGTTGACTACAAAATTTTTGTAGTTCGCTATAACTACAGCTACTTCAAAAATATGTAGTCAGCTACAACTACTGCTACTTTTGAACAACAGTAGTTCGCTACTGACTACAGCTACTGCTTAAAAAATGTAGCGAATTATTTCGCTATTTCGCTACGCAATATTTTTAAATTTTACTGTATTTGGAGCATCTACTACCTCAGGCTGTAATGTAACCTATATAACAAATCGACTTACGAGTAAATAAGATGGCATGCACTTGCACGGCATATTTTATTCATGCAAATTGAGCATTGATTTTCAGCAAACCGTGTCTCAATATCATGCTATTCTATCCAGTTGCTAACAATTTTAAAAAGTAGCGAATAGCGATTTTCTGTTTGAAAAGTAG